GTACACCTCAGAAAGTGACAGAACGCCCCTCTACTACTCCCCTTCTCCCCCCTCAACCCTTCCCCGTCAGTCGCGTCAGAGGGAGCGCCCAAGGCCCCGGCTGGAGCGAGAGCTGACCAACCGTGCTAGTTTTTCTCTCGCGGCGCCCCTGAGAGACTCGGAGCTGTTGGACTGGAGAGTCACACCCAGAGGCAGGGACAAATGGAACTCCTCACAGGCTTATCAGAGCCCCGTTTCCCCTCTGAGCCCCGCCTGTGGAACAGTTAGCAAACGGAGGCACTCGCTCGATATGGGCTCCTCGGTCGCGCTAGCGACTGATGCCGCAGCAAGTGTCGCCAGGCGCTACGGCGCTGTCAGTTATGCCAAGCGGCTAAGCGTCATCTGGACAAGGCGGAGCCAGTCGCTGCATGGAATGCTGGTGCAGTGCGCTTCGACAGCAAGCACAGCTTCGTCGACCACGAGCGACGAGTGCGAAAGCAGCAGCGGGTTCGGGGGTCACTGTGATTTCCAAAGGGGATATATTCATGCTTATAACGCCACCAATTCCAACTCTAACACTGGGATTACTCCCGGGAAAGCAAATAATGGAAAAGACAGGTGTAGGGAAAAAGGAAAGGATGGAAAGAGCGCGGAAGAACTGGAGGAAAGCGTCGTATAGGGGCACGGATTACAAAAAGTGGAGGGGATAAAGGGTTCAGTATGAGGACAGTTTGAATGAGATGCTGATTTAAGAAGGCCAAAGAGGTGAGGAGGGATTACAAAAGCAAAACTGTTTTAGATGAAAAACTTTTCCAGTTCAGAGGAAGGGAGGAGAGCAAGTGACTCAAGTGTCACTAATGCAGCTTCTTGTGAGGTAAGAGAAGAGAGTAAACCAAGAAGTGAGGTCAGGATTTGTAAGAGGCTCTCCGAGGAACCTTCAAAGTGATGGCAGAGAAATGTGACCAAAAAATAAATTAATTAATTAAAAAAAAAAATCTTTAAAAATTCAAGGCAACGGGGAAAAAAAAGTACAATCATCGCAGTGACAAAGAAAGGAAAAAAAATATGTGAGAGGGACGTGGGGGATGTAAATTAAGGAAATAATGAGGGAAAACAGCAGTAAGGAAACAGAACAAAGGTAACAGCAGAGGAGGAGATGTTGTGACCTGTGTGGATCACACTAACACAACCATTCAATTCTCCAGAGTCTCAGCTCCCACACCACCACGAGGCTTTACACCGGATCAAGAACACCACCACCACCACTGTTAATACTGGAGAAACACTTGTGACAGAAATGCATCAGTGAAAAGGTCTGGATGACACAGCCCCACTCTGTTGTTTTGGCTTTCACGCAGACGGCCATTTTGAAGCTCTTTTCTGAATGTGACTTTTATGTGTCCTCTGTGTCTGGACAATGATTTTGGCTCGCTGCGCCTGCGGATTATGGGAGTATAAATACAGAGCTGGGTGCATTGGACATGATCAATCGATACAGGCTGGAAA